TAGATGAACTAGAATGTAAGCTTACATATATGCAAGGATCAATAACTGAAAACAAAAGGCTGTAAGTCAGTAGGTATGAAATGAATATGAATTTGCAGAGCACAGAAAACAATCTTAAAAAAACAAGGTGGCATTTTCAAAGAGCAAATTTTATTAGATCAAATCAAATGCATTTGTTTCCCTTTATCATTCTAAGTAAGAACTGAAGTTTCTTTCTGCAAATGAGTTCAGACTAGAATGAAACATGTGATTCCAATCCCACCTCTGACACTGACCACACGAGTAACATTTGATTTTGACCTTTCATCAAGGACATGATGTAGAGATTACCAATATTGGTACATTATGTACCTTTCACAGCTACCAGTGGAGAACCCACACACTGATCAGAAAAGATGGAATATTATTTGAACAGTGAAATAATAAAATAAAATGAAACTTTACCCTTTGGAATAGGAAGACATTAGAAATCACTTTATACACTAAAAACAAAACAAAACCAAAGACAAACCACACACACAATTCAAAACAATTCAAAATATTTTGTTGTGATTCAACACACGGCATGCTTAATGGCTTCAGCAATTGTAATTCTTTTTAATAAGTGTTACAAACTCAAAGCAAGACAAGTAGGTATTAAAATATATTGGAACATCTTAAAGTTACCAGCCCTAACAGTGGAAATAAAATGATGGCAATTAAAGGAAATAAAGGTTATTAAAAGTTAAGGCCTCAGAGGCTAAGAAATTATGTTAGACTGTCAAGTGTTTTCCCCATGGTGGGTAATCAGTTAGAAATTAAAAAAAAAAAATCTAGTAGTTTAGTGGTGGTCAAAGAAAGAGTAAGTGGGGTTGAGGAGGTTTCAGCAACATGCTGGTAGAAAAAGGAGACTTACAGTCTGGGAGAGCAGTGAAATGGAAGACGTGGTAACCTCGCTCACTTAGTTGTCATTTTTTGATTTTCAATGACATATTTTTCATTCTTTCGCCTAGTAAAGATGACAGAAGGTCCTAATTTATTATCTGACATCTATTCCTGTTCCTAGATTTAAGAGAGTTTAACCGTATAGTCATATAATCCAAATACAAATACTATGATGAAAAACTAAAGCACTGATGTCCATGCATTCAATTATAAGCAAAACTCAAGTCAAAACTAGAATTTAGGGGAAGAATCAGGCTGCACAGCCCAGGCACGTGAGGGAAAGAGGGATGGTGGATTTGCAGTTTTCTCAGATTAAAGCGGGTGAGGGAAGATGATCCTAAGAAACAGCTAATGTCCTCCTGAAATGATACAAGCCACAGACTGTAAAAAACACCTGAATTAAAGCTTTTGACATGGCTGTTTGGTTCATAGATTCTACATGCCCAAAAAAGACCTGAACAAAATCCACCCGCAACTGTAGTAAGTATTCTGTCTTAGATGCCTTCTGCTGCTAGAGTTGGGTGAGTTTTAGATGGTGCGAGAAGGATCATCCACACTGTTATCTAATATTGGAAAATAGTTGGAGCGCAGAGTGAAGAATAAAATTAGCTGCTATGTAAATTTCTGTTTCTGTATGGTATGTAAATTACACCATGGCAGATCGGACTAGCAACACCGTGGTGCCCGACATTTATTCCTGTTTTCTTCATGTATTTCAACACGGGTTGGGCTCACTTTTTAAAGGAGCTCAGGATATTTACAAGACAATAAACGAAAGACAGCATTTAAGAAATTAATTAAACTAAAATTTAAAACTATGTAGGTGGCAAAAGTCTGTATCTTTATGGTATATCTTAAGGAGCAGGAGAGCAGATTAAAAAAAAAAAAGAAAACAAAGCAAAACAAAAAGCAGAAAAAGCTTTTTATAAAAGGAAGTGTAAGAGATCAAGGAAGGAAAGAAACAATCCTGACAAAAGTCCCCAACAGCTTAATGCCAAGATCATCTCTTGGCACTGCAAGTGTTGGTCAGGTGCAAAATCCTGGAATTTGGATTTCAGGATACCACATCTGTTCATCTAGCATACGACTGACGATTTCGTATTCTCATGCACAATTTCAAGTAGATTCTTTCATAGGTGCACACATTTATTCCATCTATTTTTCAAGAAACTACCTCTTGAGGAAGAGTACAGTCAAAAGGAATTGTCTTAAATTTAGCTAGAGTTACAAGGCGAGCAGGGCAAATCCATATTTAGTTTTCAGAGGTATATATTGGTATATATTATATTGTGCTTATTCTGAGAAAGTAATCTGCCGAAAAGACATTTAACTACGTTACAACAGATTATTAATATTGAAGAAGCAGCAAGACAGAATAGTCTTAGTTCAATTAAAATTGTTAAAAATCAGAACACCAGTAGCATGAGCATGCTGACTGTGGCTTGCATCTCTGAGGCCTCTTCCCTGCACACTGTTTTTGCTACGGCACCATTAACAGTGTTGCTCTGACAGCACAGGGCATGAAGAAGAAAGTTCTCTGCACCTCACCCCTCAGGATGCAACTCAGAAACAGAAGTGAGTTGACAGAGAGGCCTCCTTGGCTTTCCAAGGCCGTCCTCCTCCCCTAAGAATCTGTGCATGGGAAGCCCACAGCTGCTCCAAGAGGGAACACTCCTTCCATATCCCAGGGCCACAACACAGATGGCCGAATGCGAGTCGAGCCTGTGTACCTCTGAGGCATGAAGATGGAATCGAGAGGGCAGGTCACAAGATTTTGGCCTGTAGTCAACCACTGTTTTCTCCAGTCTGTGGAGAACTGTGTGACCACGGATTCCTGCTGAGCAAGGACTGCAAAAGTCGGTGCATTTCGTATGAAGGAAGAGCTCTTCCTGAGCTCCGGTTTCATGAACCTCTTCCAAACGTTAGCTCTTTTTATTCTTCCAGTTAATATTTCATGGTGACCTGCATTCTCTGCATCCCCAAAGCATGTGGCTTCTGCTAGCCTCCACCCTAATCACTTTTATTTGTGGGACTCTTGGGAGGGGATGGGTAATGTTTAGAGTAGGGAGGAAAATAACTTAAAAAAAATCATCTCATTATGATCATGTTTAGATGAAATACGGGGCTCTCCATCAAGAAAATTACAAAACAATTCCACTGGGAGCCCATACTGTTCAGGGTAATTCATCTATGAAAAAGTGAACTTTAATTGTTACTCTTGGCAGCTATCTAAGAGAAGTGTGGAATGTTATACTAAATATTGCCACGTGCAACAGTAAGATACTATTTCCTCCTTGCCAGAAGCAGTGTTCAGCCCCCTTCACAGTCAGGTTTGGGGTTGGTAATTTTGTCTAAATCCCCTGTTTCCCCCTCTGCAAAACCAACAGAGGCTTTCAAAAGAGTGGAGTGTTTTATTAGAACCATTTGCTCTTTTTTGATTGCCAAAAAGGAATAAGTAAAACCGAATTTATTTGGGCTAAAATTGATTCCTCAGCTCTATGGAGGTCAATGTACTTAGTCTGTCAACCTTCTACTACCAAGTTCATGTCAGCCTCGAAGCAGCCAAGGTTACATGTTGGTCCCCTATTCCCTCCACAGCCTCATGGACTTATATAAAAGAGATGAGAGCATGTGGAAGGTAGTCAAAATGAAACTTATGTCAAGAAAATTACATTCTGGATTTTCTAGAACAACACAAAATTCAAGCAATTTTGATGCGCTCGTACAACTGCAATTTGGAGACCAAGTGCCTTGATTTGAGTTTGAGACAATGGGATCACAACAAGCATTCATAACTCTTTCACTGAACACTGCTGTATTATACAGTTCCCAGGCATGGAAAAAGTGTTTGATAAGAGTCAAGAGTGGAGGAATAGTGTTCTTTTCCTAGAAATGAAGCCTTCAATGAAGATGTTAATCAAAGAACTATTTATATGGTGCTGGTTATCTCAGACGTGTACTGGCCAAGGATGGGTCTATAGTAAATTATTTGCAAATAATTTTAAAATATACATTCCATCATACATTAAGATCATATGTAAGACAGCAAACATAGATAATATTCAGCTTCCAAAATATTTAAATTGGGACAGTCAGGGTCCTTAGAATTTAAATAACTTGCCCAAGATTATTCAGCATATTACTGATGGCCTGAAGTCCAGATTCACAAGTTACAAGGAGATATTCCTTGTGCTATGGAACATTGTTTTTCATCTACAGGGAAATATAAATATATATACATATACAAATGATTGATATTATACTAGATTATATGATATTATAAAATTATATTACACTAAACTTATTTGGGAGTAAGGTTAAGTCTACAGATATGATAAAAAATAATCCTTGCTGTAATTTAACAGATTAAAATTTAGGTCATCTGCAACTTGTGTAAGTATAATAATTTTCCACACATCTGCTTCTTATAATTGTTTTTGTTTTATTACAGCATATATTATCTAAGCCAATAAACAAAATGGCTACTGTTAAAAATCAGATCACTGGAAGGAAATATAAACTGTATCAGCCTTGGGAAAAATATTCTGCATTTTTCCTATGCTGCACACAACTGCATAAGGATTGTACATTATAAAGCTTCATAAGTACTTGTAGTTTATATAAAGTAGTATCTCTTTGAAGTAAGCCTATCTGTGGAAGTTTACTCATAGAATGCATGGTTCTACAGTAAAGCCAACAATATACATCACTTACTTATAAAGCAAAGTAATCACTACAGAAGGTGAGGAAGTTTAAAATACATTTTTATAGATACCACTTATACAATCAATGACAGCAAAGAGTAAGCTGTTAGTCCCATAGGCCGGCTATTCTCAGGAATTGGCTGATCTTTTCAAAACTTGTCCTATGGTCTGGGAAGCCAAGGAAATTTGCCTTATATGTGTAGTTTTAATTTAAAAAATATCAATTGCCCTTTATTTTCTAAAAGATCAAGCTCTTCATCTGTGAGCACAAAAGTTTAAGTTGTGTGAGGGGTTCTATTTCTTGCTCTCCATTTAAAATGGGAGAAAAATAAAAATATTTTGCCTGTGACAGAATATGAAAGAAGTTCTCACCCTTAAAACCAGCAGCATTGGTTTTCCAGTCATTAGCGTTCAAATGTCCCGCACGGGAAGTCCTGACAATAACATGCTGTACGTCTCTCCAGGTCAGAAACGGACTGGGGAAAGACAAGGTAAGAATCATTGTACCAAAAAAAAAAAAAAGATGGGGGAAGCAGAGAGTCACAAGCAAATTAAAAAAGCAAAATCAAAATGGCAAAGTACTAAAAACAAAGGGTCAGAAATTTGGGTTTGGGATAACCAAATGCCAAATGCCGCTCTTGCTCTCAACATGGAGAAGTGACATTCGTCTGAGGGAGGCAGAAAATGTAACCTTGAACTGAAGAAATCATAGGGTTGAAGTCAGTGTAACTTAGTTTTTGAAGGGTGAGGGTTTCCATTTTTCTCATCAAAATGGCTGTCCTTTATGGCGTCATTGTCCTCTGTGTGGAAGTTTGCATCATTTCGGTAAGTTTACAGTAAGCTGAAGTCAAGACAGAAGGCTGCTGGAACATTCCCTGCCCCATCATATAGCTAGGCAATTGACTTGCAAAGAACTTAGCAATGTTTAATCTTCTGCATACACATATGTGTATGTGGGATATGGAAAAATCTCAAACCGAGTCCCCCACATTCAGTGCTCTTTAAGGAAGAGACCATGGTACAGACCTCAAAGTTGGACCCTATGACACAGACAGCTAGCTAGGGTGATAGTCTTACTTTTTCGTAGGGAGTCGTTATATTACATTATTGGACAGTGAGTTCTTATGGCCTTCAGCATTAAAGAGCACAAGGCCACCATGGCACCGGAGGTGCCCTCAATGGAGAACTGTAATGCTGATCATAAACATATGGAAAATGAATCCAAGAACATACATACAGACAGACTTATGTTCTGTTTCAAAGAATATGTGTGAACTACGAGGTATTTGATTCATCACATGCATGGAACTCTCATTAAGACATTAATTCAGTTTCCCCTTGAATTTTGAGATGGGACAATCTTTCACTTTACTAAGGATTATGGTAATTACCACGCAGTCTTGGCATTTTTTGTTTGTTTCTCATGCGCCACCTTTGTTTTAGAAAGAGCATTTTTTGCCAGGGTGGTTCAGAATATTTGAGGAAGAGGAAGAAATTACTGCCTGCCATAGATGCTCATGTGTGGAAACTACAGTTGCTCAGAATGAAGGGAAACTTATGTTACTGTAGCTAATTTTTAATGGCGAAGCCCACACATTGCTTTACTTTATACCACATTCTTTTATATATGTGGTTTAAAGACTAGACTCCTAAGAAGGGCCCACCGATCAGATTTTGGATCTTCAATTTCTATATAAAATTAAGCTCTCAAGGTCTTAATTTCCTCACTTAAAGCATGGATACTAATATCTATTTGTTGTGCTGATTGAATTAAGTAATGTCAATTACTTAACCTAGTGCCTGGTCCACAATATACTATTCAGAAGCAGTATTTAGCATAACATTTAGCTAAAGTAAGAGCTACAGCTTTTATTTCGTAGCTTGAACATAAAGAAAATAGGAAAATCAAAGAACTTTGAGTTCTGATATCTTTTATGTTATGCTCTCAGACTAAAAGTAAACACTTTCATTTTGAAAAGGTAGAGGCTCGGAACACAATTATTTTGTAAGGCTGCATGCATTAGCTAAAGATTTGTTCAACAAATTAAACCCAATCATATGAACTTAATAAATATGAGAACAATAAGAACAGGATTACTTTGTTTTGTTTGCATACCACCCTTGACAGGAACTTATTTTATTTTATTTCCTTCTGTTTCTGTTTTTTTGAAACAGGTCTTACTATGCAGTCCAGCCTAGCCTCAACTCACTATGTAGCTCAGGCTGGCCTTGAACATGCAGCTATCCACCTTCAGCTTCTGGGGTGCTGGGATTACAGATGTGCGCCACCATGCCCGGCAGGAACCAATTTTAAAGCTGGTATGGCATGAAACTCTCAAGAAAGGGAGAGCTCTTGTGTCACAGATTCCAGAAAAAACAAGATGTCTTGCTTCTAAAAGAAACAGCATGACTTGGTCCTTTGCTAACTAACTCTGAATTCACATGATAATTTAGTAGATTCAACACATTACTACCAGAGCAGTGAAAAAAATGAATCAAGGTGTAATTTTGACCCCTGTCTCAACACAAAGCTCTGAGGGCTGGGGATTTAGCTCAGTGATTCCACCACCAGCCTTGCAAGTGCAAGGTCCCGAGTTCTATCCCCGGTACCAAAAAACAAACAAACAAACAAACAAAAAAAAACAGTCATATCCTTTTATTTTCCCAGTATAGCTACTTGGATAAAGGGCAAAGCAACAAGAAGAAAGTTCAGTCCAAAGAGAAATTCCAGCCACTTATGGTAAAGTACAGTCCTCTCAAATGAAAATGCATGTCTTATTTTTTTCTATTGGTGAATAGCAAGACATTAAAAAGTGCACAGGGATTTGACATAGATAGCTAAACTAACTTAGTAATTTAAAAACAACAACATATAGTTAAAAACTCTAATGTTTTAAATTTCACCCTTTTGAAAAAAAGGTAAGTTTTCCACGTTACCTCTCACAGGGTAAAATTTCTTCAGAAACATCCAGAAGAGGATTCAGACCACTAGGAGAGAGACATTTTCCCTAAGAACTTTAGCACTATATATAATAATAGAACAGGGGGGCCAGGGATTTAACTCAGTGGTTCTGCCGCCAGCCTTGCAAGTGCGAGGACCTGAGTTTGATCCTGGGCAACAAAAAGAAGAAAAAAAAAGAAAGAAAGAAAAAAAGGGGACATTTGTCTTGTGGCTTAGGCAGTTGTAATGTGGTAGATTCACTAAGTCTCCTGCATTCAACTCAGCCTGAAGGAATGAGTTACTTGTTCTCATGCTGAGGTGCAAAAACAAACTAGTTCTTAGAGTGCTCGTAATTAAAAGGAAACAATCAGCTCGGGAAACTGTAGCTACACATGGAAAGGAGGTGGCTGGATGATGTTACTCTGCCATCTGACAATGCACCACTTCGGAAATGATCTAATTCAAAAATTTCTTGAATATCACCAAAAAAATAGGGAGGTAATGGGCAAACAACAGATTTGGAATTAGTGGTGTTTCTACCTGTGGGAAAATATCTAATTAGCTCAGAAAACAGATCTAGGTTAATTTTGTTAGACATTTTGTTTTAGTTAGTACCAGTATCCTGAGAAGACTTCCATTTGTGAGAAAGTCTGGATGCATCTTGCTTTTTATTTGCATGCATGCTTACAGGGATGACGCAGAGGCAAAGACGGAATCGAGCTATTAAAGATTTAGTAATGGATCTTGCTGGTGACCATATTTAGGGCAAAGCAGAGAGAAAGACTGAGCTCTCTTCTGTGGGACTGTCACACACACAACAGACCTTCTAAAACTTCCCCCTCTGTCAAATATTTTGGGCTCACACTTTACTGGCTTCAGAAGACCAAGAGCCTCCTCATTTTCAAGAACAGGAAGACTGAGCCCCAAAAGCTTTGATACAAGCAACAATCAAGAGGTCAAAAATCTAGCAGACTTGGAGAAAGAAAAGCAGTTCTTTCAAGCTGAATTTGCTGACCAGTACTCTGTAAATAAGCCACAGGGAGTTATGCCATACACCTCTTTATTTTTTCCTGGAATCATTAACACTTACCCTCCAACAATAACATATACCAAAAGAATTACATTACTAAATGCCTTCAAGACCTGGGTAGCTGTCTAGGGCCTTTCAAAGGAATGAAATGAACATGACTCTGGGGAATTCAGCATAGGCAATCTTCTGGTTAAGAAGTTGTGCAACTTTTACTAACAGTGTAATAATAATCAACACTTAGGAAGCACCTGGGGTCAGGTAATATATATTTTACGTGCAATAATGTTGTGTACTCTTGAAAGTCACACGTTGTACGCCATATTCCCATTGCTATTGCAGAGACGAAACATAGGCTTTAATTTACACATAGTCACTCCAGTGCTCTGGGGTGGTAAGTAGTAAAGCTAGAATCTAAACTGGCTGTGCTATAGAACTATACAATATCATTCACTTTGTCATGCTGTTTCCAAAATGGATCCACACAGGTGACAGGACACACACACCCCTGGCTCTTCATGTGCTCATGTTCACCCAATCTTTGTGAACGCTCTCTCTATCAAATTGGACTATCATTTACCACTGAATTCAGAATATTCTTGTGTCTTAATTTGGTTTGTGGGTTCTAAATCCCTAACTTGAGCACACTATCAAAGATAAACTGAAAAATGGATGCCAGGGAACTGATATCATTTTATAACATATTTTACATGTATAATATATGTCATAATGTTATTATTTTAGACCATTATTGTTATGAATTATTCATGTTGCCACAGTCCCACTGTAATGAGGCTCAAAGACTGGTTAAGCATTTGTTCTCTCCCTTGAATCTCAGCTAAACCCACCCTCCAGTATGTCCTAGTTCCCAGCTGCAAAAACAGAACAGTCAATAACACTATCACTACTCTATGCTTATGTTACATTCCTTATTCTGAGCAGCTCAAAGTATTTCACAGGAACAACATGAGAGTTAGAAGAGTAGCACTTTGTACAGTATTTTAGCTTCTGCATGCAACTGCTGGCACTTAAACTAAAATTGAAAAAAAAAAATTCCCTCACCAAATGTTCCCAGATAGTTCTTTGGATGTATGAGTGTTTAAAATAAATCTGTACTTGGTGGCTCTTAAAAGTAAAGACCAACTTGAAATCTCAGGTAATTGACTCATCTGAAGTTGTTAAAGAGAAAAAAAAGTTCCTTATTCCAGATCCCCAAAGGATCTGGAATCCAGGGATGACTGATGAACAGGAATAGCAGATACATGTCTTAACACTAAAGGAGAATTTATCTACAAGAGAAGGGCCTACAAATCCAGATAATAAAAACGGTCATAAAAGTGTGATTCTGTCTAACGAGATTATGAGGTATTATCCAGCTCAACGGGACAATTGCATGACCAATCAGCAGTTACCCACATATCCTACTTACTAAATGTTCAACAATAATCCAAGACAAAGCCAGCCCTCCTTTGTACAAGTGTGCAAAACAGAAATGAGAACAAGTAATC